TCAAGGCTAATTTAGAACTCAATCAAGCGCTATAAAGATGATTGGTCCTAAGCAAGACTATCGGATTTTACTCATGAAGACGATAACGAGCCGCAACGGCTTTGATTACAGATCGAATTAGAACGTTGGTGGCCGTTGTGAGGAACGGCAGCGGTCCACTCTATGGGGGAGGGATGGGGTTGAGAGGAGTAGCAATGACTTGTGAGTGTACCGCTCTGACCACATAAATCACCTCTGCGGCTTTTGCTCCTCGTTACACTCGTACACATGTCCCCAGAAGTTTTCAAACGCCCTCTCAGAGTGTATATGTCTTGGAAGAAAGACGACGATGCAATAAGGAGAGTTGAAGAAAAAGCGACAAATTTTTTACAATATTGATTCGTTTCCTAGATGAATTCGAAGAGAATTTAGCTTAGGTCTTTTTAGCTTTCTAAGCAGTACATCGTCGAGCGAAACAGCAATAGGAACCCAGCATATTCTACCAACACATATAATTGAATACTGGTGAAGTTCGCCAATCTTAGAAAGCTTTTCCCGAATTTCCTATTTTTTCTCCACTGCTTATCTGTTAGCAAAGATGTGTACCATAACTACCCACAACACACTACTTTGTCGTAGCTGTAAACGATTCTTTATAAAACGCAGTTTTCCTTCTTCTGGTCGTTCTTTTGACATTATCAGAAATGGCTCCCAAATTTTTACCATGCCCCAATAGACAGCTGAGGAGGTTATGGCAGTGCAGAAATAGCCGAACTTGCTTGGAGTAATAGATAAGCGAATGCGAAATGCGAAAACATATGTGGCATTGATAGACCATTTACCATTCTTTAAATTTGTCCTGCATAGATATTCCAGAATAATCTTGAATACCTAACTAGATATAGATATAAGTGACAAAAAGTTCTCCTTAATGGTTTCTTGATACAGTGTTCCAACTTTTTTGGCCTTTTCAAGCAGCTTACAATCAAAGTCGTGCTGAAATGTGATGGAACCTTCAAAAGCAGCAAATATCGGATTCTTTCCTTCATTGAAGAATTCTTCCACGGTCACATTGCTTCTGTAGAAAATCTAGAGTGCTATGAATCAACTCGATGATTAAATCCTGTTTGGATCTTGTTTCCCAACGTGATTTAGGACTGGCAAAGGCTTCAAAAATTCATATTTACTCGCGTATCTCAGACACCCATGACAAAATTCTCATTTATAACATAGCGGAGACATCCCATATAGTTATTCCTGCTTTTTATCTGGATGAAAAAGAACTTATACTCCTTAGTGCACAGCGAAAACTTTTGGACACAGATTGTAGAGTTGCGTAAACATGCAAAGAGGGAGCATTGGTTTTGAGAGTATTGGTTTTGACAATTTTAGCATCTCTTTATACAAAACTTGTGGCTAGAGTTCGGAAATAAACAGTAAACTTGTACCCAACAGCTTCAAAACAATGACGATTTCACAACTATTTTCTATGTAGCGAAGAGAAATGGAACCTATGCAATTTTATTGAATACTCAAAAGCTCTGGCAAAAGCGTCTTATCAGATGCACTCTTTGGAAAATAAAGCTACAAAATGCACAAATACGTACACAATAATACATATCCCTCACCAACTGCAATGTGTTACCAGAGAATTCTTGCATAAGTTTCAAATAAATGTTTTAGGAAGCACTAAAAAAATGGTAGGGTTATTCCAGCGATGATATTAGGATAAAGTCAAAGAGCGTGAAGTTTTGACACAATCGATGGCTCTCGATCTCTCAAG